TTTTACTTCCTCTTTTCCAATTTGGATGCCTTTTATTTCTTCTTCTTGCCTAATTGCAATGGGTAATACATCCAGGACTATGTTGGGCAGGAGTGGTGAGAGTGGGCATCCCTGTCTTGTTCCTGTTCTTAGGGGAAATGGTGCTAGTTTTTGTCCATTGAGTATGATGTTGGCTGTGGGCCTGTCATATATGGCTTTTATTATGTTGAGGTATGATCCTTCTACTCCCACCTTGCTGAGAGTTTTTATAAAAAATGGGTGTTGGATTTTGTCAAATGCTTTTTCTGCATCAATTGATATGACCATGTGGTTTTTTTCTTTCAATTTGTTTATGTGATGTATCACGTTTATTGATTTGCGGATATTGTACCATCCTTGCATCCCTGGAATAAATCCTACTTGGTCATGGTGTATGATTTTTTTTTTTTTGCTTACTGGAAGTATATATTTTTTAATATACGGGTTAGAAACTATTTTAAGTTCATTCTACAAATATACATATTTTGATATTAAAATGAATGTATAAAATGTTCAAACACTATTCTAGACATTGGGGGTATAAAACCAAAGGAAACAGATTGCCCAGCTTGAAGAGCATTCAAAATAGTGGGGTAATTTCAATAGGATGTGATACCTGCTGAGGCGGAGGCGGGTATGGGAAACTAGATGACAGAACCTGCCCTGGCCTGAGGGGCGCACAAGGCTCCTGGGGGAAGGGCCTGAACTCACTTTGGAGGTGGAAAGGGGCTTTGCCGAATGCCTGCCTGACAGAAGCCTGCAGCGCCCCAGGTGCAGGAGGTTCTGTGACTGGCTGCCAGGTGCTCTGGCCTGAGAGAGGGAGACTGCAGGCTCAGACAGTGGCCTTTGCCACCACCAAGGGGATTATATCCTGGTGCCGATAGGAGGCCACCCGTAGTACTTCTTTGTAAATCTAAATTTTAATTTTTGTCCTAAATAATTAAAAATAATATGAAAGAGACTTTTCAGAGTACTAATAATACATTAAATGCTTTGTATTTTCCAGGAGCTATTAATCTCTTTTTTCTGTATTATCTAGTTTTTATAATAGTTTTATGAGATGAAGATTCTATCTCCTCATTTTATAGAGGCTTAAAGATTAAAATTTCCCCCACTATTAAAGTGAAAGATCCAGATTTTGAACCCAGAATTGTCTGATTTAAGCTTGTGTTCTTAACGACTACTTTCCACCAACAGAAAGAAAGAAAATGAAAGCTTTAAACATTAGCAATGTGAAATTTCAATGTTATGATTTTATTATGAATTCCTTTTCCAAAATCCTTTGTTACTGGGCAGCCCCCTGAATCAGAGGGTGTGGCTCTCCGTTCCTCAGTTCTTGTCAGTCTTGCAAGAAAGATTTCAGATGAGTGACAGACAGCAGTGTTGAAGCAAAGTAAGCAGATTTATTAAGAATACACTAGACATAAAATACAAGTGGGCAACTCAGGTAGTCTGAGCACACTGCCTAATGGGGGTTCAAGGGGTTTTATACCCTTCCCTCTACAGGTTTCAAAGTTCCCCTGCCGAGTATCTTGGATAGCAGACTAGGTTTCAAAGTCCCCTTCTACATTATTGTGACTTATCTCAGAATGCTTGTATATACATCTGGTCATCTTGTTTGGCAAGTCCTAAGGTGGCTAACTTCTTTGTTTAGTGGGTGAGATAAAATTCCTCCTTAATTCCCCCTCTCCTCTTTTCTGTCCTAGCAGTTATCTTTCCTGCCTAACATCCCCCAAGAAATACCATCAAAATCCTTTTGGGGTTTTGTTGTAGGTCCCCCAGACTTTATTTGTCTTGGCTTTAGCTGGCACAAATGACACTAATTGTGTCTTTGTTCTCTATTTAACCAGGCCAGGGTGATTTAAGCTATGTATTCTCTGGTTAGGAAGGAGAGGTATAAACCATTTACTTTTAAGTGTCTTTGGTGAAAATAGGTCTTGCGATTCACAAGCTGGCTGCAAGCTGCCCAAACTGTTTGGCCTTGTTTAATTTTCTCGTCTCACTTTCCCCATTCCATTTGACCAGGAATTTTCCTAACTTCTTGGACTATCTTGCCACACCTTGAAACCAGGTAGTTTCAGATATTATTATTATGTAACCTTCTGCACACACCAGAGCTGGGGGCAGTATTCCATAATTAAATACAACCATGCATATCTACTGTAAGTGGTAAATATTCAAATGAATGGCATAAACAAAGACCTATAAGTAGCCCTACGCCAATTCAGATCTGATTTTGCCAAGACAATTGGCTGCAACCTCGTGAAAACCTTTTTAACTTTCAGAGCTTTTTTGATTTTGGAATTGTGGATGAAGTAGAACTTCACTAAATTGTATGTTTATTTCCCCACTTTATTCTATATTCTTAAGAAGTTGAGTTTTAATGTGAGAATATATTAGATTAAATATGGTAACTTTATGTTCCTGTTGTGAAAGAAGAGACAAAATTTTTTAATTGGGACAATAAATTTGTATTAAGTTTCTACCTACATTGTAAGTTTGTCTTGTCATTGAGCTGTGGATATAATCATCCTATAATATTATTTTTAGGTAATTATCTCTCAA